TGTTTTTCGTTTATAGATAGTTCTCTGCTTGTGTGCGAGGTCATGTTTGGGGCGGCCTTTGTCGCAGCGCAGCACAGGACACAAGGACACAAGTACCTTAGAGCCCTAAAGGGCACCTCAGGTCAGAACAATGCAAACTTATGCTGCAGCTGTGTATCAAGGCGGAATCTCTCCACCATTCCTTTCACTCTCCTGGGCTGCAACAGGGCTGGGGCTTTTGCGCTCAATATGAGTCATTCTTTCAGGCTGAAGGTTTACCCTATGAGAACTACCCTAACCTTTAGAAGCTGCCCCCACCCTAATTATAATAGTGACTACAAGGATTCTTTTAGGGCCCTATTATATTCCCATTCTATTCCTATTATACCACTACTACAGGGTGGGGACCCCTTCTAAGCTAACCTGCATTCTGGAGGATCTTCTGCAGGTTTGATGACAAGCCAACATGTGGTTTCAGATAAGTCAAAGGCTGTGGCAGTGCAAGGAAATTCTGCAAGTCCCTTTCCCACAAATACATGTAATACATTCAATTATTTAAGGCTAGGGCTTGGATTACAGTATCAAAAGTAAAGATTGACTATGAGTACTGCCAACACAGCATGCCAGGGGGGTGGAATAGGGTTTCGGTTTCTGGGGTTGGTCGGCCCGTGTACTGAATCTGCAGCTCTTTGATTCTGCTCTCTGTTTTTCGCCTGCATTCCATCAGCCTGAGACAGTCCTAGACTCTAAGCTCACTTTGATGTGGAAAGGCATACGTCATCCGTTTAAGTTCCGCTGTGCATGCACGGACTACGGTTTAGGCACTGCAGAAAGGTCTAGATTGTACCATCTTCTGCGCGCGTGGTTGCTCAAGGTTCCAACGCTCAAGCTTCAGTCGTCTCAGTCAAGCCATCTAAATCTCTCGGCTCTCGCCGATGCAGCTTAACAGCACCAAGAGTGCCAAGAAAAACTTGACGCTGAAGCAAAGCCCCTCCAAGGGTTTAGGGGTCAGTTCAGGGTGTGTTCTGTAATGTGGCCAAATCCTGAATCTTTTCTAGACTCTGTTTCGCTTTTCGTCGAAGTCAAACCCCCCCCCCCCCTTCAACCGTCCCCCAACCCCCCACCCGCATAACACAGCCGCTTCGGACTGCAAGCACTGGCTGCTGCTGCGTTGCCAAGAGCGCGTCGAGCTTCTCCTTGCTGTGACCGCGCCAAATGACCTTCAGGCCTCGTTGGCTTGGGGTGGATTTAGGTTTTAGGGTTTAGGGTTTAGAGTTTAGGGTTTGGGGTCGCTCGGACTTTGCACAAACTTAATGTAGGAACCTGATTAAGAAACCCTGGGCCTATATTACGGTTCCTTTAATGGGGTCTATGAGGGTTACTATAAGGGATCTATAAGGGTACCAAAATAGTGTCGGAACCTGATTAAGAGGCCTATAACCCCAAAATAGTAGGATTCATATAAGGAACCCAAATTAAGGCCCAAGGTTTCTTAATCAGATTCCTACATTATCAACTTTGTGAGGGTTTTGGTGGCGTGCAGGGCACCTTTTGTCCAAGTGTTCGGGATTGAGATTTCTAGGCCTTCGAGTTATTGCGGGCGTTTGAAAATCAGGCTAAATTAGGGTCCTGTGGCTCTATTGCTCAGCCATTTTGGCTTAAATTTTTGGGGTTTGCTGCTGCCTTGACCCGAGCCAGATTGTACGAACGGACAAGATGAAGTCAGATAAAGGCCGCACAAAGCGCAAAACCCTAGTCTAATGTGCCGTTACGGTCATCGGTCATCGAGAAACCCCAGACTGACACTGCGTAGCCGAGCCCATAACCTCCAAGTAAGCCCTAAGGTGTGGGATTTAGGGATAGGGTTGATGGTACATCGAAGGCTACCTCAACCCAAGGACGAGGTATTATAGTATATTCTCTGCAACTGCAGCTCAGGATTCCCTGCATAAGATGGATGAACCGCCGATTTCGTTGGGTGGTATTGCAGGGTCCCGGGCTCGCACGCACTCACTGCGAATTCCTGGATAGTTGCGAACCCCAACGACAGCGTACATCAAGTCATCAACCCGCAACTGTAAACCCCTGAGCCCAAAGCCCCATGGCCCTCGCAATCTCAACACCCTGTATACAGTATCCAGGGCTCCCCAAACCCCAAACCCTAAATCCCAAACCCTGAACCCTAAACCCCAAACCCTGAATTCTAAATCCCAAACCAAACCCTGAACTCCAAACGATCCAAGCTGAACCCTAAACCCAAACCCCCAACCCTGAATCCCAAACCTGAAACTCTAAACCCCAAGCGGCTTATATGGGTGGTTGTCAAAATTAAGGTTCCCTTTTTGGGTCCTTGTTGTAATACGGCACCCATTATGTAGGGTACCCAAAAAGGGACCCCAATTTTGACAACAACCCATATAAAGTAAAAGCCAGAAAGTTGGAATATGATCATCCTAAACCCTTTATGGTAAATTATAATGTATCCTACCCTGAAACCATATTCCAACTTTCTGGAGTTCCCTTTAGAGGTTGCTGGGCCGGGCCTTGGGAGGCGACCTCCTCTGGGAGGCAGCTTGAGGCATGTTCGCCGAAGAGCCGGCCCAAAGACAACAGATACCTCTTGGGGTTCATGGTGTAGGGCTTAGGGTTTAAGGTTTATTTATCTATTTTTTTAAACCCTCGTGTCTTTTCGCCTTGCAGCATCCAGACTAGGGTTTAGGGCAAGTTTAGGGTTTAGGGGTTTAGGTTTTAGGGTTTGGGGTGGGTCCGGGATTTAAGGTCTAGGGCTTTACGTTTGAGGGGGGGTCAAGATGAGAGATGTCTCGTCTCGCTGGCTCTTAGTAGTGAAAGTGGCAATGGATCCCTGTGATAGTCTCTTACTGCCTTAAGGCACCCTTCTAGTAGTCCTACTGCTGATGGGCAAAATCCTGCATGATTTATAAGGAATATACCATAGTTCCCATAGATTAGAGTCCTTGGGGTCATGCAGGAATTTGTCCATCAACAGTATAACCCATTCCCTCGGAGTCGTCGGGGCTTAGAGGTTGGAGGTTGTATATAGCTCATGATAGTTCTATAGCGTCTTGGGGCTCAGGGTTCATTCGGCTTGCGTGTAGAGGCACTTGGAGATTATAAAGATACTAAACTTGGCTCCGGAGCTTGAACCTTTAGGGTCTAGATGACTAGCAAGCATCCAGAAAACAAAGATAAGTAAAGCGCTCTTCACTTGAGGCCAAACCCAGGCCGTAAAAGCAAAGCTAGCTACGTCTTTACCACAGGACCTGGCAATTTCAGGCCGCGGGGCTCTAAGGTTTCATGGGTTCGTCTGATGTCAAAGGGGAAAAGGAGGGACCCTTGATGGGGACCCCTACCCTATAATGGGCTATACAATGGGTATATAATGGCTATACTAAGGGTATATACCTAGGGGTCCTTATTAAGGGTCCCTCCTTTTACCCTTGGATGATAGTATGCTATATCCCCGCAGCCCTAACAAAATCATGAAAGTAGCTTTCCGGGTTCAGGTATTCCTGTAGATTGGGCCCCCAAAAAGCACATAAGCAAAAATTGGGATAGGGATATCCCATATAAACCCCCTTAAAAGGAAGCCCAATAAGGTAGGGATATCCCGGTAAAATGCTTATGCGTACATGCGTTTTGGGTCCCTAAGTAGAGGCTCGATCTGCTCTAAACCAGACCCGAGCTTCATGACCAGCCACTTCCGACGGCCCAGTTGCTGTAGCTCCAATCCCAAAGGGTCCACGTATCATTGTTTTTTGTTTAAATCGTTGGTTTAGGGTTTAGAGTTTTAGGGTTTAGGGTTGAGGAGTATATACTTATAGGGTATTTTGGGGGTCTAAGCATATACCATATAATGATACTTGCCAGGACTTCTCGGTCATAAACGGCCGGAGCCCCAAAGGACCCCAAGCCCTGGTCCGCTAAGAAGGTTTACAGTAAACTCCATAAAGTTGGAAACCGAATCAAGGCCAAATAGTGCTGGGATTCCCTGTACATTACTCTTAAGCATTGAGGCTACTGGGTTTCCAACTTTATGGCTTCTACTGTAGAGTGCTCGGGCCTTCGGACTCAAGGTTTCGGCCTAGGGCCCTACCCTAAGGCCCCATAGTAGCTCCGTTTTGGGATTACCTTATATGAACCCTAAAAAGGAACTACTTTGGGGCCCTTGGGTAGGGTCAAACCACAAGTCATACTGCTGATGGACAAAATCCTGCATTACCCTTATAAGGGATAGACCATAGTTCCCATAGTTTAAAGTCCTTAGGGTCATGCAGGATTTTGTCCATCAGCAGTAGTAGTTCCTTTTTGGGATTACCTTATAGGAGTCTATATATGAAGCCTAAAACAGCACTACTTTGGGGCCTTAGGGTAGGGTCAAACCACAAGTCATACTGTTGATGATATAAACCCTGCATTGCCCTCAATAAGGAATAGATCATTACTCCCATAGCTTAGGGTCCTTAAGGTTATGCAGCATTGATATCATCAGCAGTAGTAAACAATCATCTAAAAACTCAAACATCATGTGTGCAGAAGCCGTGCACTTGCATTGATACTTCCTACATCGCTTCCCGTTTGGGGGGGGGGCCTGGCCGCGGCTCAACCATGGTTATCGTGACACTGCGACAGACTCAGAAGAGAGACAACCTCGATCCTGAACCCCAACATCGTCCAGCACCCACTGAAACATGGACTGCACTACATTAAGATAATGTGGGTGTTCAGACAAAGGAGTAGGTTTAGCGTTCGGGTTCAAGGTTCCGCACGAAGCGGTAGACCCCTGCCTGCGTACATGTGACATGTACAAGAGTATACACTACAGATGAGCATATAGATGGACTGTATCTTCAAGGGAGATACGATCATCAGTTGTTCAGAACTCGATCATGCAAAACCTTAACCGCGGCTGCGTTTTCGGATTCCAGGAGCCTGAGAATTTGTGTCGAATCGGATAGTCGAAGCTCCCGGCTATCGTGTCATAAAGGGTGAAACGACGTGCATCAAAGGCGCCAACAGAACTTCCAACAGCCGACGGCAAAGACAAGGGCTACAAGTAGCCATACAAGGACTGTTGTCAAACTCCGAGCACTCACGACGACGGTGCAGAAGCCACCAGCCACGAAGAGAACGGAAGAAAGCAAGAATACTATCGTAAACTCAAGCGAGTAAGGCATCATCCTGCGACCACACACTCGCAAGCCACGCTTGGTCATATAGGCGCCGAAATTTGCGACAGCAGGGAGCCAAAGCACATCCAGGCCAAGCACATGCGCAACGAAGAATGCAAAGATCGACTCCCAGGGAGCACCGGCCTTCGACAGTGCCAGGACACCCTCGAGCGACAGGCAAAAAATCGGGAGTGTAGCGATGTAGATGTACTGCGGGGAGAGGCTACCCTGGGCGCGCAGTAATTCAACGACTTCTAGGCGAAATGGCCCCCGGATGTGATTTGAAAAGGCATCTAAACTTCCATACCACGAGATGATGGCTTCGTGGATGCACTGCTTGTCGAACTCGTTCGAGCATTCGACATTTGTCACATCGAAGCCTGGGCAGACAATGCAGCAATAATGTTACAACAAGGGATGACATGTCACAACGATGCTGTGTTGTTGCCGCGGTCATGCGACAAGTCATCAGATTATGTGTGCAAGAAGGAGGAATGTGCGCATGTAGGCGTGGTTTCAACAACTGTGCCTCTGAACGTGTAGAAAGACGAGGATGGAAAGGAGGGGCCTACCTTTACTTCCTTCTGCGACCAACGTTCACAAGCTTGTTTCGTGAGCCGTAATGGAATCTCCTGGCTTCGAGCATTTGCCCGGCTCGAGCTGACAGAGACTTCACTACAGCTTCGGTCATGCATGTGCTTTTGCGTTTGAACTCCTTTGCCCATATCGAAAGACATGAAACCGCTTGCTTATGTCCACGATAAGAATGTAGATATAATCATGACGCTGTACACATGTTGCATCGAAACAGAAGTTAAGACGTTCATACCAAATTGAGCATCACGATCATGATAGTTATCAAAGACAAAACGAGAAACATTATTCGCTCTACTGTTGTTGCTGCAGCTGTTGCTGTTGATATGGCTAAGTGCGACATCGTCATGACTATTGCCTTTATGGCTGTGTTCCTGTTCCTATCCTTCTAACTGCCATGTGAAAAGCTATTATCTTTGATTGTTCTACCAAGAACAGACCTCATACTGTCAAGGACAAGAGAGAGGACCACTTGGGGATCACGCCACGACTTTGGACAGCAAAACTCCGACAACCAGGTAAAGGCCAGTTAAACGACACCAGAGCGAAGAGGCCTAGAGGCCGAACAGAGACTCTCTAAGGGTGATATAGGGGCCTTAATAATTAGAATAGGGTTCCTTTAAAAGGGGTCCTTCAAGAACTACTATCAGGGCTATTATAGGGATTTCGACAGTTCGTGCATCACGTTGCCATAGCATTGGAAAAACACAAACGAAGTTCGCTTCTTTCTGTAGTCGGTGCCTGCAGCAGAGCCCTAGGTGTACCGCGCACCGCACTACGAGGGGAATGTTCATCTACATCTCTATCAAAGCTTGCAAAGACATGTAGGTATATGTGTGGAAGACATCGATCGCATGCTTTCGGCTGGGCTCTTTTTAGGGACTTTAATTTAGGTTGTACTATAGATCCCTATTATGGCAGCTTAATTCGACCCCCTTAACAAAAACCCAGCAAGTGATTTCACCGACCGAGGAGCAGCCAAGCTGTGCCTGTAACATCTTGTCAGCCCGGTGCTTCTGCCTGCCTGCATGGAGCAATGCAATATAGGAGCCTTGATAGAGTTGTTATCGGGTCTTAGGGCCCAGTATACTATACTTATAAAACGGAACCTGCATGCAGCAATGTAGGAAACAGCAGCAGGAAGGAGCCGACCATCAACATCAGAAGTCGCATCGGATCGCCCCCATTCGGCCCGGTTCGTACCATGAGAAAAGCAGCAGACGCCAGCTGCACCCACATAAACATCAAGTACACAGTTGCCTCACCTGGGCTCTAGTTCCAGGGCCAGCACAGGGTCTACGATTCGGCGCGCCTAAAACTTCCTTAGCACTCTAGTTGCTGACGCAAGCTGTGCAACAAAAGCAAAAAACGCATCTCACATCGCAACCTTGTCACTCAGCAACGGCGAGATGATGATCCTGCCCTGAGGATTCACTTTGCGGTATGCTGCCAACTCAAAGACACACCACAGCCTTGGATTGATCCAGATTGTGCTTGCGATGATATGAGGGCTGAAACCATCAGAATAGCGGTTTGGGGTACATTATGATATAATCACTAGGATGAGGAAATACAAGGGATGGTATTGGTAAAGCTTCAGGCTTCTATAATTCATCCAGATGCAGGGCTTGTACAGCTGCAGGATTAAGTGGCTCAGCCTCAACCCTAGCCTAAGCCTAAAACCCACACCTTATCTTGCCAGAAAACACTTTATACTATATCCGTTCTAATTTTTTAGTTCAATATAAATACATAAATAAAATAGATAAATAAATAAACAACCCTCAGCCGCCCAAAACCAAAACTTCTTCGAATGTCGAAGCTGGGAAGCCTCTGAAGGTATGGGGCGCTCCACAGCACTCGCAGCTCCGAAGATGATGCCAAGAAGGCTCCGATAGATCTGATGCCTTGCCTTTGCATACGCATAGGCCCCAAAGTAGTTCCTTTTTGGGATTACCTTATAGGATTCTATATATGAGCCCCAAAAAAGAACTACTTTGGGGCCTTAGGGTAAAGCTTAGGGTATTGGGGTATTAGGGTATTGGGGTTTAGGGCTTAGGGTATTAGGGTATTAGGGTGTTTAGGTGGTTTAGGTGGTTTGGGTGTTTTTGCGCAACTCGCTTTTTCCGTCTTCTTACGGGCTTCACGCTTAGGGTTTGCGGCTTTTGAAGACTTGGTTTTTGGGTTTGGGGCTCAGTAAGTTATTAGGCGTTTAGGATTCATGTCTTTGGGGTGTTGAGGTGCAGCTGCGACCAGGAATCCCGACATCCTACATTGGACGAATGGAGTTCTTGAGAGTGCTCCAGTCTACAGCGTCCTATGCTTGGCCGAAGTGACAGTAACGTCCTTCCCCAGCAGGATTTACCCTTTCGAGTTTCGAGTCTGGAACCCACTTGCCTGTCATAAATCGAAAACTTACGGACAGCGAGGTCCAACCACCACGCCACCTCCACCCCGCCCCCCCCGCCCATCACCCCACTGTCACAGGCGACTACGATCCTGAGGCAAGCTGCTCCATCCTGACTGTGTCTGTCTGGTCTACGCAGACGTAGTCCAAGAAACAGATGTCGGAGCTGCGATGTGGGAGATATGGGTACAAGAGGAGCCCTCCAATTGCCTAGGTTGGCCCCGAAACATGTTAGTTATTAGTCTTCAATTTAATCGTAATCAAGACGCCCTTTTAAACTTAGCTGTAAACTTAATAAAAGAAGCTTGAAAACGTGCCAGCTGGCCTAGCTTCTGTAGGAACTGACACGACAGAGACCCAGAAGCCATACGGAATCATGCCGTCGAAGCCGACCGCATGGGCTTCCCACACTGTTGTTTGCGGCAGCACATCCAGCAACACGAGCGCGAATGCAAGTGCTACCCCAACTGCCCAAGAAAGCAAGAAGGCATGCCAGCCTGTGTGCATCATCAGTGCGAGGAGCTTCCATCTTCCGGATGTGTGCCACGTGTGCGACAAGAACTTATCATAGCTTGACGTCTGCCTCGATGCATTGTACAACTTCAACCTTTCTGAACTGGTCAGAGCGGATGGGTCACGCAACCAGAGACTGCCTCCTCGGCGGAGTGTTTTGCGCAGGGAAATCCCTCGCATCAAAGTGCTGTCTGTGATGTCCTTGGTGGGGCTGTTAAAGCTTTTGAAAATATTAGTAAATAAGATCTTCTTAAGCCCAATAAGGGAAAATATAAAATGTCCCAAAGCCCTACCTAGTGTCGGTTCCTGTAAGGTCTGTCAGCTTCGAGCTCATCCTTTCAACTGGCGATCGCGAGGTAGATCTGTGGCGTGAGGGGGGGGAGCATGTTTCGTCAGGCCCTGACATTGTGTCATCAAGGTCGTGGTCTGTCAATGAGGGGTGGATGTAGTACTCGTCTGACTTCGCGACATCGGGCGGCTTGGCCGCATACTGATGAGATTCATTGCTGAACACCGCCTCGCATGCATGTTCGCTCGGCGAGCAGCATTTTCCGGCTGGGTTCGCTTCGAGCTCGTCGTTCCAAGTCTGTGTGTGACAGCAGGTCTGAAGAGCTGAAAATTGTTGTACCATGCCGCCCCCTTTTGCTGGGCTCTGTCCGCAAGGCAGGGCTTGGGCCACAAAGTGGTCTGCCAAGGACAGCCTCAACCGTGCAGAGATAGCTAATGCCGATGCACATTTCCACAGAACCCACAGCTATATAGGATTCTATATATGAACCCCCAAAAGGAACTACTTTGGGGCCTCTGGGTAAGGCACCCTTATAGTAGTCCTATAGCCCATTCCCTCGGAGTCGTCGGGGCTTAGAGGTTACAAGAGGTTGTATATAGCTCATAATAGTTCTTTAGCTTGTCTTGGCACTGCGGGTTCATTAGGCTTGCATGTAGAGGCACTTGGGGTTTATAAGGATACTAGGATACTAAGCTTGGCTCAGGAGCGGAATCTTTATAGGGTCTAGATGACTGGCACACATTCAGAAAGCAAAGATAAGTAAAGCGCTCTTCACTTGAGGCCAAACCCAGGCCGTAACAGCAAAGCTAGCTACATCTTTAACACACCACCTGGCAATTTCAGGCCGCGGGGCTCTAGGGTTTCAAGGGTTCGTCTGATGTCAAAGGGGAAAAGGAGGGACCCTTAATGGGGACCCCTACCCTATAATGGGCAATATAATGGGTATATAATTCCTGGATGGCTATATTAAGGGTATATACCTAGGGGTCCTTATTAAGGGTCCCTCCTTTTACCCTTGGATGATAGTATGCTCTATCCCCACGGCCCTAAGATGCTTTCCGGGTTCAGGTCTTCCTGTAGAGGCTCTATCTGCTCTAAACCAGACCTCAGCTTCATGACCAGCCATTCAAAATATAGTATCCCTAAATAGTAGGAGCCTTATTATAAGGACCCCCCAAAAAGGTACCCCTAATTTGCGGAAACTCTCATATGAACCCTAAAAAGGAACTGCTTTGAGGTTTTTGGGTAGGGTCAAACCACAAGTCATACTGCTGATGGACAAAATCCTGCATTTCCCATTATAAGGGATATACCATAGTTCCCATAGTCTAAAGTCCTTAGGGTCATGCAGGATTTTGTCCATCAGCAGTAGTAGTTCCTTTTTGGGATTACCTTATAGGAGTCTATATATGAAGCCTAAAAAGGAACTACTTTGGGGCCTTAGGGTAGGGCCAAACTACAAGTCATACTGTTGATGATATAAACCCTGCATTGCCCTCAATTATGAATAGATCATTATTCCCATAGCTTAGGGTCCTTAAGGTTATGCAGGATTGATATCATCGGCAGTAGTAAACAAATATCTAAAAACTCAAACATCATGCGTGCAGAAACCGTGCACTTGCATTGATACTTCCTGCATCGCTTCCCGTTTGGGGGGGGGCCTGGCCGCGGCTCAACCATGGTTATCGCGACACTGCGACAGACTCAGAAGAGAGACAACCTCGATCCTGAACCCCAACATCGTCCAGCACCCACTGAAAGATGGACTGCACTACATTAAGATAATGTGGGTGTTCAGACAAAGGAGTAGGTTTAGCGTTCGGGTTCAAGGTTCCGCACAGTGAAGCCGTAAACCCCTGCCTGCGTACATGTGACATGTACAAGAGTATACACTACAGATGAGCATATAGATGGACTGTATCTTCAAGGGAGATACGATCATCAGTTGTTCAGAACTCGATCATGCAAAACCTTAACCGCGGCTGCGTTTTCGGTTTCCACGAGCCTGAAGAATTGTGTCGAATCGGATAGTCGAAGCTCCCGGCCATCGTGTCATAAAGGGTGAAACGACGTGCATCAAAGGCGCCAACAGAACTTCCAACAGGCGACGGCAAAGACAAGGGCTACAAGTAGCCATACAAGGACTGTTGTCAAACTCCGAGCACTCACGACGACGGTGCAGAAGCCACCAGCCACGAAGAGAACGGAAGAAAGCAAGAATACTATCGTAAACTCAAGCGAGTAAGGCATCATCCTGCGACCACACACTCGCAAGCCACGCTTGGTCATATAGGCGCCGAAATTTGCGACAGCAGGGAGCCAAAGCACATCCAGGCCAAGCACATGCGCAACGAAGAATGCAAAGATCGACTCCCAGGGAGCACCGGCCTTCGACAGTGCCAGGACACCCTCGAGCGACAGGCAAAAAATCGGGAGTGTAGCGATGTAGATGTACTGCGGGGAGAGGCTACCCTGGGCGCGCAGTAATTCAACGACTTCTAGGCGAAATGGCCCCCGGATGTGATTTGAAAAGGCATCTAAACTTCCATACCACGAGATGATGGCTTCGTGGATGCACTGCTTGTCGAACTCGTTCGAGCATTCGACATTTGTCACATCGAAGCCTGGGCAGACAATGCAGCAATAATGTTACAACAAGGGATGACATGTCACAACGATTCTTTGCTGTTGCCGCGGCCATGCGACAAGTCATCAGATTATGTGTGCAAGAAGGAGGAAGGTCCGCATGTAGGCGTGATTTCAACAACTGTGCCTCTGAATGTGTAGAAAGACGAGGATGGAAAGGAGGGGCCTACCTTTACTTCCTTCTGCGACCAACGTTCACAAGCTTGTTTAGTGAGCCGTAATGGAATCTCCTGGCTTCGAGCATTTGCCCGGCTCGAGCTGACAGAGACTTCACTACAGCTTCGGTCATGCATGTGCTTTCGTGTTTGAACTCCTTTGCCACTATCGAAAGACATGAAGCCGCTTGCTTATATCCACGATAAGAATGTAGATATAATCATGACGCTGTACACATGTTGCATCGAACTAGAAATTAAGACGCTCTTACCAATTGGAAAATCACGATCATGATAGATATCAAAAACAAAACGAGAAACATTATTCGCTCTACTGTTATTGCTGCAGCTGTTGCTGTTGTTATGGCTAAGTGCGACATCCTCATGACTATTGTCTTTATGGCTGTGTTCCTATCCTTCTAACTGCCATGTGAAAAGCTATTATCTTTGATTGTTCTGCCAACAACAGACCCCATACTGTCAAGGACAAGAGAGAGGACCACTTGGGGATCACGCCACGACTTTGGACAGCAAAGCTCCGACAACCAGGTAGCGGCCAGTTAAACGAAACCAGAGCGAAGAGCCCTAGAGGCAGAACAGAGACTCTCCAAGGGTGATAGAGGGGCCTTAATAATTAGAATAGGGTTCCTTTAAAAGGGGTCCTTCAAAAACTACTATCAAGGCTATTATAGGGATTTCGACAGTTCGTGCATCACGTTGCCATGGCATTGGAAAAACACAAACGAAGTTCGCTTCTTTCTGTAGTCGGTGCCTGCAGCAGAGCCCAAGGTGTACCGTGCACCGAGCTACGAGGGGAATGTTCATCTACATCTCTATCAAAGCTTGCAAAGACATGTAGGTATATGTGTTGAAGACATCGATCCCACTGCTTTCGGCTAGGCTCTTGTTAAGGACTTTAATGCAGGTTGTACCATAGATCCCTATTCTGGCAGTTTAAATCGAAACCCTTAACACACACCCAGCAAGTGATTTCACCGACCGAGTAGCAGCCAAGCTGTGCCTGTAACATCTTGTCAGCCCGGTGCTTCTGCCTGCCTGCATGGAGCAATGCAATATAGGGGCCTTGATAGAGTTGTAATAGGGTTTTGGGGCCCAGTATACTATACTTGTAAAACGGAACCTGCATGCAGCAATGTAGGAAACAGCAGGAGGAAGGAGCCGACCATCAACATCAGAAGTCGCATCGGATCTCCCCCATTCGGCCCGGTTCGCACCATGAGAAAAGCAGCAGACGCCAGCTGCACCCACATAAACATCAAGTACACAGTTGCCTCACCTGGGCTCTAGTTCCAGGGCCAGCACAGGGTCTACGATTCGGCGCGCCTAAACTTCCTTAGCACTCTAGTTGCTGACGCAAGCTGTGCAACAAAAGCAAAAAAACGCATCTCACATCGCAACCTTGTCACTCAGCAACGGCGAGATGATGATCCTGCCCTGAGGATTCACTTTGCGGTATGCTGCCAACTCAAAGACACACCACAGCCTGGGATTGATCCAGATTGTGCTTGCGATGATATGAGGGCTGAAACCATGAGAATAGCGGTTTGGGGTACATTATGATATAATCACTAGGATGAGGAAATACAAGGGATGGTATTGGTAAAGCTTCAGGCTTCTATAATTCATCCAGATGCAGGGCTTGTACAGCTGCAGGATGAAGTGGCTCAGCCTAAACCCTAGCCTAAGCCTAAAACCCACACCTTATCTTGCCAGAAAACACTTTATACTATATCCGTTCTAATTTTTTAGTTCAATATAAATACATAAATAAAATAGATAAATAAATAAACAACCCTCAGCCGCCCAAAACCAAAACTTCTTCGAATGTCGAAGCTGGGAAGCCTCTGAAGGTATGGGGCGCTCCACAGCACTCGCAGCTCCGAAGATGATGCCAAGAAGGCTCCGATAGATCTGATGCCTTGCCTTTGCATACGCATAGGCCCCAAAGTAGTTCCTTTTTGGGAATACCTTATAGGATTCTATATATGAGCCCCCAAAAAAGAACTACTTTGGGGCCTTAGGGTAAAGCTTAGGGTATTGGGGTATTAGGGTATTGGGGTTTAGGGCTTCGGGTATTGGGGTATTAGGGGTTTAGGGTATTAGGGTTTAGGTGGTTTAGGTGTTTTTGCGCAACTCGCTTTTTCCGTCTTCTTACGGGCTTCACGCTTAGGGTTTGCGGCTATTGAAGACTTGGTTTTTGGGTTTGGGGCTCAGTAAGTTTAGGCGTTTAGGATTCATGTCTTTGGGGTATTGAGGTGTAGCTGCGACCAGGAATCCCGACATCCTACATTGGACGAATGGAGTTCTTGAGAGTGCTCAGTCTACAGCGTCCTATGCTTGGCCGAAGTGACAGTAACGTCCTTCCCCAGCAGGATTTACCCTTTCGAGTTTCGAGCCTGGAACCCAGTTGCCTGTCATAAATCGAAAACTTACGGACAGCGAGGTCCAACCACCACGCCACCTCCACCCCGCCCCCCCCGCCCATCACCCCACTGTCACAGGCGACTACGATCCTGAGGCAAGCTGCTCCATCCTGACTGTGTCTGTCTGGTCTACGCAGACGTAGTCCAAGAAACAGATGTCGGAGCTGCGATGTGGGAGATATGGGTACAAGAGGAGCCCTCCAATTGCCTAGGTTGGCCCCGAAACATGTTAGTTATTAGTCTTCAATTTAATCGTAATCGAGACCCCCTTTTAAACTTAGCTATAAACTTAGTAAAAGAAGCTCGAACATGTGCCAGTGCCTGGCCTAGCTTCTGTAGGAACTGACACGACAGAGACGCAGAAGCCATACGGAATCATGCCATCGAAACCGACGGCATGGGCTTCCCACACTGTTGTTTGCGGCAGCACATCCAGCAACACGAGCGCGAATGCAAGTGCTACCCCAACTGCCCAAGAAAGCAAAAAGGCATGCCAGCCTGTGTGCATCATCAGTGCGAGGAGCTTCCATCTTCCGGATGTGTGCCACGTGTGCGACAAGAACTTATCATATCTTGACGTCTGCCTCGATGCATTGTACAACTTCAACCTTTCTGAACTGGTCAGATTCGATGGGTCACGCAACCAGAGACTGCCTCCTCGGCGGAGTGTTTTGCGCAGGGAAATCCCTCGCATCAAAGTGCTGTCTGTGATGTCGATTCCTAGGATACCCAGTAACCCAAGAATAAAAAGGCCTCTCTTTTTGGTATTGGGTAACTTTAATTATAAGGAACCTAGGACTAGAAAAAGGGAATAAGGGTACTACTGGGCATCCTAGATTCCTGTAAGGTCTGTCAGCTTCGAGCTCATCCTTTCAACTGGCGATCGCGAGGGCGAGGTAGATCTGTGGCGTGAGGGCGGGGAGCATGTTTCGTCAGGCCCTGACATTGTGTCATCAAGGTCGTGGGCTGTCAATGAGGGGTGGATGTAGTACTCGTCTGACTTCGCGAAATCGGGCGGCTTGGCCGCATACTGATGAGATTCATTGCTGAACACCGCCTCGCATGCATGTTCGCTCGGCCGGCAGCATTTTCCGGCGGGGTTCGCTTCGAGCTCGTCGTTCCAAGTCTGTGTTTGACAGCAGGTCTGAAGAGCTGAAAAATGTTGTACCATGGCGCCCCCTTTTGCGGGCTCTGTCCACAAGGCAAGGCTTGGGCCACAAAGTTGTCTGCCAAGGACAGCCTCCACCGTGCAGAGATAGCTAAGGCAAATGCCTTTTCCACAGAACCGACAGCTCCTAAATCCTCTACCCATAGTCTCCATTGTAGTTCCTTTTCTTGGTTTAACCAAATATATAACAAGGATCCTATAAGGGAACCCCAAAAAGGAACTACAATGGAGACTACAGGTAATTGTGTTGTAGTCTGGCGTGGCCTCAAAGCCTGAACTCTCGATCCCTACCGCACAAAGCTGCGCCTGGCAAAAACTCGCTCAACCTCGCTGTCCTTCGCACAGGTCTACGGATTAACGTTCAAAACCATCTGGGGTGGGTACCGGGTACCGGTACCTAAGATAATAAGACAAACGCTTTTGATCTAAGCCCCCAGATACCGAAGCATAGGCGATTTGGATTTCGAGGGGTTAGGGAACAAGCCCGTGCAGGACAGGGAAGAAATGTTGCAAAGCTTTTGGGCTTGCTGGCATCGAGGAAAGCTGATGGGCTCGCGGGCTTCGCCGACATGCTTTGATTACCAGTATTTTTGAGAGAACGCCCAAGTATGCACTCACCACAATCACTGGTAGAAAGGATGTGTGGGCTTGGGACTCACGCAGATAAACATGCTGGGAGGTCTAGAGTCTAGAGAGTTGATCCTAGGGCTTTGGAAAACATGATGTCTTTTTGCACCCTCATAAGAACACTACTTTTCAACCCTGTATCAACTGCAAATCGGCCTATGTGAAGTTGCTGAAGGATCCCCTTAACATACCCCGTCATAGAAGTTCCATGTACAGCTTCCTTCACAGAACCCCAATAACTTCCTTCATTATCAAAGCATGCAACACGAAGGGACTATTTTCATGATATCAAGGTGGTCTCAGGAGCAACCGAAACGAATTGACAGAACCTGTATAATCTTGGTGCCTGAATAATCAGAATAGGGTCTTGGGGTATCTTATACCGTAGTCATATAATATGAAACCCTAATGATAAATTTAATTTTTGGTAATTATTTAGGCTTCTATAGTAGTTTCCTTTGTAAAAAAATCTCTTGTTTTGGGGACCTTCAAGCCGCCTTAGGGCTCGGGCCCCCTGGGCTTTCGGAGCCCAAGTGTCCTCGGGATCGTCGGCTTTCCCCGGCACTTCGACTGGCTCTCCCCACATCCTCGGAAAGGTCCAGGGCTTAGGTTTTGTTTTTTGTGTTTTTTGTCGCTCCTTTTCTCCTGCAACACAAGGTCACTGGGGAAGGGCCATAGGGTTTAGGGCCTAAGGCTTGCAGCTTGTTATTGTATCCAGGGAGGGGGAGTGGGCAACTTTAGGGGCGACTTCCTGGGATTTTGTGAGCGCTGTAAGGACCCTGCGGTCTTTGCGAAAGGTGCTGCTTAACGTTGTGTTGCCATGCGCAAATGCGCAAATTGTTTTTTTCATTCCTAGCTATAGGCCCCTTAACCCTCAACTCTGAACCCTCCCGAGTTGCAGCCCGCTTATCAAGACACACGCAAAGGCCTTTGCGGACGTCTAGCTTCTGTTGCGTACCATTGCATCTAGGGTGTTACGACACCTTGGCGTTGTATTGACATCGACAGAAACCAAGTTGCTTCGAAGCATTCTTTTGAATGAGTACGAAAGCCCCCAGGATGAGTTGATTTATAATCATAGCCCCTCTGCACCTGAAACTACGAAAACTTTCTTGCTTTCATGATTTGTTGCCAATACGGATGATTGTGCAAGGAGTTGTGTGTCGAAGCGTGGGCGGAAAGAAGCTTGTGTATAATTAACCGTGTGTGTGTGTGTGTGTGTGTGTGTGTGTGTGTGTCTGTGTGTCTGTGTGTGTGTGTGTGCGCGTGCGCGTGCGCGGGTGCGTGGGTGCGTGGGTGCGTGGGTGCCTGGGTGCGTGGGTGCGTGGGTGCGTGGGTGCGTGGGTGCGTGGGTGCGTGGGTGCGTGGGTGCGTGGGCGCGTGTGTGCGTGTGTGCGTGTGTGCGTGTGTGCGTGTGTGCGTGTGTGCGTGTGTGGGTGTGTGTGTGTGTGTCCCTGCACTCTATGTTTACAATTTTTTGTATATGCATAATTGCGTACGGATGTGTATGTATGTGCGTATGTATGTGAGTACGTAACACCGTATGTATGTATGTATGTATACATGCGTGCGTGGATGTATTTTGTACATACACACACACAGACTCACACATGCATACCTCTGCATGTATACACGTACATACATACATTACATACCTACCTACGTATGTACATACATACACGTTCTTGTACGCATGCATGCATGCATGCACGTGTGCACGTCGTGTGTAAGTATGTAGGTCTGCAGGCATGAAAGATAGGTAGTATATCAATTATATGTCCGCGCAATACCCATGAACTCTACTCCACAGATTGACGCCCTGTTCCGAAACTCCACCCGCAGTCTGAATCAAACGAAGACTCATGTGCAGTGTCACCCGATTCGGGAGGGGGTTCACCAATGGCACGCACACGCCGAAGCTGTTGAAGAGCTTTGCAGTGGTCCTGAAATCAGTGTCAAGGCCCGAAACCCGAAACCCCAGAACCCCCAAACCTTAAATCGTTTTATGACCCTGTCAGAGCCCTTGTCCCTCAACTCTGAACCTCTGCAATGAAGATACACCCTCAATAATGCAAGGGCCTTCATAACTAGAATAGGGTTTTGGGCCAAATTCTACTATATGTATAATAAGGAACCCCAAAAGTGTACAATTGGCAATTATTTAGAGCCTTATATGAACTTGAAGTGCAGGTCTTTAAATTATGTTAACCTGAAGTGAACGTCTTTGGGGTGGCGCTGCAAGACCTAGCTACCCTCAGGCCTGCGGATCCAAAAAGACCCAGGAATTGGGTACATGAGTTTAGGATTCTTCATTTATGAGAGCGGCGGCTTCCCCCTGCTCTCTGGAATCTTCCCAGCCGGGACTCGCGATCCTCACGAGCCATCCCGCTGTGTTTCATTATTTTTAGGGCAGATGATAGTACGTACTAACCAATGTTAGTATTTGGAAGAGTTGATTGTCAGCGACTTTCCTCGTTTAAGGACCCAGCACAATATATGGTAACTACTGGGTCATAGGTACTGGCAGGATTTGGAGGTAATTCTGGAAAAGTGGGCCACCATATAGGTGAGTGGCCTTCTGAGCTAAACGATAAGAACCTTACTATGAAGACTTCCAGATACATATGATATCGTGCTATCATGTATTCTTGAAAGCTTGAAGCTTCCGAACCAATAGACTCGCAGGACTTCGCCACTATCCTAACGGACCAAGGGCGCAAGTAATCTTACTGTAAACAGGGCACCTGCCGATACCTGCCGACAGGCGTCTGTCGACCCCACTCGTAGGTGGTAAAGACCTGATTCTCGCCTGAGTCGCGGGATTAAGGCATGATTATGCCTGGGACTGAGCATGTGCAGCGGTGCTTGCATCTCGGATTAAAGCCGAGACCGATCACACAAACAAAACAAGCCCTAAACCATGTCCAGATTCAAGCCGAGACCATTCGCCCCGAACACGAAGCCCAAGTGGTAGCAGCAGCGCAGAGAAGATCTCGTGGAGAGATGGCTCTTGTTGCAAGCAATGGCGATCAGTTTGATTGCGAGTACTGATAACCGCAAGACACGCAGGTTACACTGTCGTCAGGCGGCAAACAAGCGGAGCGTGCAACTTGATTACAGCACAGAGCACACCCGAAACCCGAAAGCAAGCATGAGATCGCGGCCGAACACGTAGATCCTTAGCTCGGTGCAGTGTCAAGGTCGGGACCCTACGTAAAACCTGAAGCCACTAAACGGCTCGGCGCAGATAGATAGATACATAGATGGGTAGATAAATAGATTCAGATAGTCAGATAGACCGGTAGACACACATTCATCGCCAGATCCCGGATCCGCAATACATTCGTGTGTGTGTGTGTATGTATACATACACACATGTCTGCATCTGTACATAGTCATAAAACTATGAGTACATGCATACATATGTATATATTTACAGATGTGTGTGTGTGTGCGAAGTCACAAACACTACATGTGAAACAATATTATATGGGTGCATGTGTATATATATATATACATATGTATATACACACGCGGGTTCGAGAGTAGTGCAGGGTTTAGAGGTCGACCTAGGGTGTCTGAGAGTTAGGGTTGAGGGGAATTGGGGGTTTAGGCACCTAGGACAGTCTTTATTGTCGATTTGGTGATCTCGTTGGTTCCACAATCTCTAGCAGTCTAGCAAGGTAGGCCTTTTCGGGCTTTACGGTGTGCGGTCGCTTTGGAGGGTGTTCGTAATGCACACTGCAATCCCGTGCCCTGACACGTCGGCATTTGGACCAAAGGTAGCAGCAATTGCGAGTTAGATTTGAGATGAGCGACTGTGTGAGTATTAGGTACTTCGGCTCTCCATCCGTCCTCCACATATTTCCAAGGTACCTATGTAGGGATCCTACAAAGCGTCTGACCCCAGGAAATGCTTCCAAAGTTCAATCTTTAAACCCCCAGCCGCAATTAAACCTTGGACCTGGCACCTAATTAACTCGTTTAAGGACTTACATAAAGGAATCATAATCAGGAATTCCTAACGAAGGTAGGTTCTCTAGGGTCCAGGAACCCCTTGCCATCCTGCCCACTGCCTTTCTTGGCTGTGCTTCCAGGTAGCGGAAGCAGCGGGACCCCGTGCTTCAGCGCAAGACGGCAGAAGCCGAGGTTGGGAGGGAAGACCTCAAAAGCGCTTGGGGTTTAAGGGGTTAGGGTTTAGGGTGTACTGTCCATCTTCAGTGGCAGATTTAGGGTTTATAACGGCTTAAAGCTTCAGGGTTTATGGGTTCAGGGTGCCCAGGTTTGCAATGGGTTAAAGAAGGAATTCACGATCCTGATGTCAAGGATGACCTGCCACTTGTATACATACATACATATATATATATGTATACACAACTACACACATATACAAACACACATACGTACATTCATTCATTCATGCATACATACATGCATACATATACACACACGCATACTTTACACATGTACGATTTACATATAAAGAGCAGGTGCATTTACACATACACATAAGCATACATGCAGTTGCATCTGTATGTGTATATAAGCATATACAAATATGTACCTGTACATTGCATGTATGTGTATTTTTTAAATGTGTAGGTGTACATTGCTTGCACCGTGCCACATGTTGTTGCGCATGTATATATGTGTATATGCATATATGCACACATACATACATGCATACATCCTTTTGCATACGCCTACACATACACACATACACACACACATATACTTAACCACATACATGTACATATGCATATACATACAAGCAGGCATACAGACTTACTTTCTTCTTTATACAAGCCACAGACGCACACATGTATACATATGAGCATTTGAAAAAACTTATTGGTCACATGCTTCTGTGAGTTATCGGTTTGCTTTTGTGAAAGTAAAGAGACCATCAGACTCGCTGATCCTACTCGTGGCTTGCCCTGCCCTTTACTGTCGTTTACCTGCCCCTTCACCGCCCATTACTGCTCTTTACTACCCTTTACCTGTCCTTTACTGCCCTTTACTGCTCTTTACTGCTTTTTACTGCCATTTACCTGCCCTTTACTGCAGTTTACTGCCCTTTACTGCCTTCTGCTGCCCTTTACTGCAGGGGGCAGTGGCTCATGCAACGATCTGGCAGGTATCGATTAGGGCAGGGATTGGCTACCGATTGGGGTGTCGATTGCAAAGCCATTTAGCACACGGAAAATTTAAGCACAATTGCCGCAGCAACACGGTAATGTCACAACCGATGATCGTTGTGGATCGTATCGTTTTTGAAGAGGGGTCTCGCTTTCCTTGGAAGCAAGATCCGGCATTCCATGGCCACCCTGCTCTCAACTACAATTACCGAAGTGTTGACGGATGCTCATGTAGGCATATGTGTATATACATATGTGTACACATGAAACACACATATGTGTGTATGTATGTATGTATGTATGTATGCATGCATGCATGCATGCATGTATGTATGTATGTATGTATGTGTGTGTGCGCATGACAGGTATGTATGTATGCATGTATGTATGCATGTATGTATGTATGTGTGGATACATGGATAGATCGATGGATGGATGGATGTATGTATACATATATATATATATATATATATATATATATATATATACGGATGTCGAGAAAGATATAGAATCACATATTTATATGTATATACATATCTAGTCTATATATATATGTGTGTGTGTATACAAACAGGGGCATGCATATGTTGGGCGCAAAGGCTTCGGTGCACAATTGCGGACACATGCAAAGGACCTTTACGAACTATATCAAGCACTCATCGTCTTGTTAGCCCTGCGAAACAAGAGCACCACAGTTTACAGAGGACCCGGTCTGTGTTTTCAAGTTCATTGCCGCCGAGTGAGGAGTTTAGGTCCTGAGCCCTAAACCCTAAACCCTGCCAAACCCTAACCCCTTTGCGCGTCAAGGGTCCGCCTTTCATGCTTTTCCCTATGCCTCCAGGGACCTTACTATGGGGTGCTTAAGGGGCCTAGGGCCCTAACTATGAGGTCCTTGGAGGGATAGGGTTTTCGAGAGCCCAACTTTGGCCTAAGGGTTCAGGTTTCGGATCTAGGGTTGAGGGCCCGCAAGCGTGGGGCATCACGGCTTCGGATCTAAAGATTGCCATAGTATATATGTATATCGTATTATATCAAACTTTTTGAATAGGCATGTACATATAAGAAATAAACCTCTCTATATATCTATGTATTATATATATATATATATATATATGCAGAGAAGAGGTTTTAGCGAGTTTAGGGTTTAGGGATCTAGGGTGCGTGGTTTTGGTTAAAACGCATCGGGACTAGGTGCAGGATGTTGACGGGTACAGGGCAATGCAGTTCGCACTCCGTTTGTCGATCGTCTTTGCACAAGCCCTCTGTCTTACGCATTGTTTAGGGTTTAGGGTTTAGGGTTTAGGGTTTGCTGCAAGATCGCGTAGCGGTAGTGCAACAGGGATTGTAGGATTTATTAGCGGTTTTGTTGCCTGCGAATCGCAGACATGGCCCGACTGTGGCGGGCCATCACATTACTCACCCACCCCACGCCGTCTGAGGCGGCAAACCACCCAAACCTATACCTTTTAGGGTTTAGGACCTAAACTCTGTTAGGTCCATGTTTGTTAACAACAACCACACAATTCTGCAGCCAAGCTTCTGCTCAAAAAAGGGAGGGCAGAGTACGGCAGGAGGTGGGCCAGAGGAGGCCAGGATCAGGAAGAAAAAGGGTCAGGGCGGCCAGCGGGGCGGCAGGGGGGGCCAGGGAGGGCCAGGGCGGGGGCCAGGGGGAGCAAGGGGGCAGGTCCAGAAACGGAAACGCAAAAAAGAGCAGATTTTGTCCAAGTCCCCCTTAGGACCAGCCAGGAAGCCCCTAGGTCCTGGAATTCTGCTCGCTGGAGCTTCCAAGCCCCCCCCAGGGGTCCCTTTTTGGGGGGTGGCCAAACCAGCCCAGCGACGCTCAGGATTTTTCGCTCCAGTTTAGGATGACTTTAATAGGGACCAGTACTGGTCCCGGAGAACGTGTCCCCGTACCGGGCCTAACGTGGGTGCTACAGTACCCCTGGCTGTGGGACGGAGGGCGAGCGTCCTGGATCGACCTGCGCCATCCATGTCGAGGGGCTTAAGCGCCGCCCACCATCGAAGGTGGGCGGCCTAGGCCTTGAGTTTAGGGTTTAGGGTTTAGGGTTCCCTCTGTCTTACGCATTGAATGCCTCAGGATGTTTTGATTCAGGATGTCGGGTTCCTTGGGGGTTTCGGCTTTGGGGATTCAAGGCAGATGCAAATGCCACTTGAAAGCCAAACCATACTTTGCCGCCTTGCGGCTAGCTGTTCTCTCCTGTGATCCGTGCCGACCTTCTCGCGGATGCTTGCGAGAGGGTCGAACCCCTAAACCCTGAAGCCTGCTTTAACCCGGAAAACCCTACCTTCTTAATGACATCCACAAGGGCATCACCATAAGGAACCTTAAAAAGGAAGGTTATTCAGGGTTAAGGTACACCCTAAACCCTAAACCGAAATCCTGAAGCATCAACCGAAACAACAGGCTTAATGCAGGGGCCTCAATAGTTGGGGGGTTCCTTATTATAGCTGTAGTATAATATCGCCCCACACCCTATGCTACTCGAAGTAATTATTAAGGCACGTACATGAAACGCCAAACACAAAGAACAGAAATCACCAATCCTCGACGTGAAACCCTCCACAAAAAACAATGATCCTGAGCCCTAAAACCGGAAACCCTAAACGCACAGCAGTGGACACCAATCAAAACAACGTCGTAAACCGAAGTTGAACTTCAGGGTTTAGGATTTAGGGAAATCCAAAGGCCTGTGTACTCTGCTATTGTCTTTAGGACCCATATTGGCCAGTGTGCAACTACAGCAGGGTGGCGCATTACATCATCATCATCATCATCATCATCATCTTCATCATCATCATCAGCCGCTACTCTAGCCCTAAACCTCACAACGCAAATCCCTAAACCCTCAAACCCCAATTACCAAAGCCTAAACATCTTGTGCCAGATGACCAGTAAAAGAAACGCACGCCAGGAAATCTCAGATCCGACACCTTCAAAGACACCTGAATTTTGTAATTTCAACATCCCACACACCGACCCCCCAATTAACAAAGAGATACCACGACACCCGTCCAAAACCCCAAAACCCTAACCCCCTAACTCCTACAACCCACAGCCCTTGACCCTGAAGTCCTAAACTCCTAAGCCCCCGAACCCCCTGAACCCGGCCCTCAGCTTCCCTAAACCCAAATCCTAAACCCTTTCCGTAACCCAAAAGCAGCTCTCTCTGTGTTGGCGCCTGCTCGGGGATGCCGCCGGGCTGCAAGGCTAAACTTCGGCCGCCCCGGAGGACCCTTGGGGATTGAGTTTCTAGTGATGCATCTGTGCATATATATAGATATATATATATATAAGCTTGTATAGAAGTGTATTATGCACATGTACGTGTGTATGTATGTATGTATGTACATACATACACTACTACTGTGTGTATGGAGGTATTTATGTATGGATGTATGTATGTGTATATATATATATGTCAACAATCTCATTGAACTGTTGTTTGTTGGTTTACTTATATACTGATGTCCATGTATACGTGTGTTGATTTGTGTTGCACCTTGCCATCTATGTGTTCCTTGTGTTGTGCTCGTGTGGCTGTTTGTGTCTTGGTGCCTTTCTGTTGAATTGTAAGGTTTAGAGCTTCAGGTTTAGGGTTTCAGCTTTCAAGTGTTGGAGGATGGTATTTTACAGTGCTAGTGCCGCAAGTATGTCTTGTCTGTCTTGTGCTTGTCCAGCCAAAGGTGGCGGTTGGTTGGTGATTAGCTTTCGCCCAATGTCGAAGGTTTAGGGAATCTTAAAACATTAGGCAGTTCCTTTGCGCTCGTTGTTTGGTGTGTGTTTTTGGTCATGTTGAAGGGTTCAGGTCTTTGGTGCTTGTTTTTGGTGCCTCTTCTTCTACGAGTGCCGTTTCGAGATTTGGTGCAAGGTTTGAGGTTTGGGGGTATTCGGGTGCAAAACACGAAGGCCATGAACCCTTCGAGCTCCAAATCCTGCACTGCTGTTGCCACTAATCCGGAACCTCAAAGCACACACTCTAAGCCGTAAAAGCTTTAGAGAACCTGAACACCCTGATATGAAAACCGGTTCCCTGATGCCCCCAGGGTTCTAGCATTACTGAAAGCATGTCACAAGGGCTTGAATGTTGGGTTTAGGGTTGCATGGTGGTTACTATCAGACTCTCGCACCCGACACATTTATCGAAAAAAATCTCACCGTTAACCCAAAATTGCACCTGCGACCGTACACCCCAAACCCTTGATGTGCCAAAAGGGCTTGTCCGACATCGATTGCGTCACCGGTCGGGCGTTTACCAACCTGATGGCTAACAACTGAGTTCTGTTTGCTGGATAGAGAAGTACATAGGTACGGTAGACCGAGACACGGGGAGAGAGAGAGAGAGAGAGAGAGAGAGAGAGAGAGAGAAAGAAAGATAGTTTCACGAGTTAGATAGATCAGATAGATAGAAAGATAGACAAATACATTGATATAGGGATTCATGTACCTATGCAATATATACATTGGCCCCACAGTGCCTATATAGGACCCCGGGTTAGGCCTAAGTATATACTATAAAGGGTATGTGGACCCACAGGGAGATAGATAGATAGACACATAGATAGATGGATCGCTAGATAGATACATAGACAAATAAATATTGGTTAGGAGTCTTGGACACTGGGGGCTTGTAGCTACTACAACCAACTTTTGAGTTTTAACGCAGTTTGCAATCGTATGAAGGAGTCCTAAGGAATAGTATTGATAATGATTAGGGCATCTACATTAGAGCTATAGGCCTCCTGGCTCAGGGTGTCGGCGAGCTCCGGGTTTGGAGTTCCGAGCAAACGGCTTACCGCAGCAAATATGCTGTACTGTAGCCGAGTTGTTTACGAGGTCATAAAAAATGCATTGACCTGTGGATCCAAAGCTACCGGTCGATCCCAAAGCTAGGGTTAGACTTGGGTACGCCCCCTAGTCTTACTTATATAAAAGCCACTATGTTGTAGGGTTTGGGCTAATTGGGTATGCACCCCCCCTTATCTTACTTAGTTCTAAGCCGCATTTTGACGCCTTTCAAAGGCCATGGCACGTGAGGTACTCGCCGACGAAGGGGAAGCGAAAAAGGAGTGTGGCAATTCCAACCTGAGCCGACAGTTTAGGGTTCTATAAGGCTCAAAAATATCCCTAAACCCTCGTTGCTTGAAGACTGTACTGATGTGGCTTGTGAGATTTAAGCTTCAGGGATGCAGATTTTGGGGATTTCTGGGTTTTCCGGCAGTTCACGATTTGGGGTTTCAGGTTGTTCTGTGTGCTTGGGATTTTGAGTGTACAGGGAAGCCTTGAAACTCACAACCCTGCTGCCCTGCGGTTTGGGTTTAGGGTTTACGGTCTAGGTCTAGGGTTTAGGATTTAGGTTTTAGTGTTTGAGGTTTAGGGCCATCTTCAAGAGCTGAGGCGGTGGCAAACCATCCGCGCGGCCCCGGGCAGTCGTCTGTGGTGGATTGCGCCGCCCTCAGGGTTGAGGGCAACTAAGACGAACCCGAGGGCTGAGATACTTACATTCAAATTACCTACGTATAGGCTCCATAGTACTTCCTTGTTGTGGTTTGTATTTAGGGTCCTATAAGGTAGTAGTCCCCGAAAGGAACTACAATGGAGCCTAAATATGGGTTAAATCTATATTAAATACAAACCTGTATACAGTTGATAGAACCGAGAAATCCGTAACCTACTAGAAGCGCAGCTGAGCTCTGAGAGCAGGGTTGTGGCCTGCAGGTGATGAACCCTAAACCCTAAACCAAAGCTTAAACAATAAACATTATGGGCCGCCGAAGACTTTCGGCTTTCGGCTCAAGCCCGATTCAGCTCTTTATCTGCTTGGGGCTTAGGGTTTATAAGGGATTGATTTAAGTTTTAAGGCTCTCAATAGGACTGAAGTGAAAGCCGCCTTGAGAGCTATAAGGGCACTGTTGGAGTTGGGGGCATCAGGGCTACTATAGGGGCCTAAATAACTTAGAATAGGGGTTTGGGGCCCAAAGCACTATAAATATAATGAGGACCCCCAAAATAGTATAGGTAGTTCTTGAGGCCCCTGTATTACGCAGCTGGTCCTCTGATGTTCAGTAATCAGTCCGAAGCGTCTCATAGATACACGTTTTCCACCACTGCACTGCCACTTGCAACACGAGTAGTACCTGGAACCCCCAGGTACATCGTAAGCAGATCCAAAACCCTGAACATCCAATCCCTATCCTTATTAACCCCAAACACTCCGAGGTTGAACCAGAGCGAACCAAAACGAAGAGAATCTTGCAAGTACGTGCAATCCGAGACATTGCTCCCGACCCTCAGCCCTAAAACCCAAAGTCGAAAGCCCTAAAACCCAAAGTCGAAAGCCCTAAAACCCAAAGTCGAAAGCCCTAAAGTTTATGAGACCACATGGCGGGTTTCCTGCCCTTAAACACGAACGCGCATCTTGCTGGTGAAAATCGGTCTGGGCCAGTTTAAAACACACAAGACATGACAATACACCCAATGGGAAACTCTAAAAACTAGACACATGAAAATAGGTAGTGTAGGGATCGCTGTGGGTTCAGCGCCCAGTTGCATCTTGCTCGTGAAGAAGGCCGCGCAAAAAGTCAGAGCACCATGAGGATGCCAGCAGGTGAGATACCTGGGTTTAGCGGCTTCTGGCGTTTTGAGCTCAGTTAGGCTTTTTGTCGTGGCCTGAATAATGAGCACAGAAGCTTGGTAGTAAATTTTACTGTATCTGGAAGAGGTCGAAGGAGCGCACTTACCCGTGTTGTGGTTTAGTTACCTCGTCAAAGCCCTTAAACTTTTTGGTGCCTAAGCCTAAGCCCCAAACCTTAAATGCTAAACCCTAACCTTGTACATCCTGAACAGGGACTAATGCAAGGACCTTAAAACTTGGAATAGGGGTTTTGGGAGATATTATATTATACAATAACTCTGGTAAGGACCCCCCCCCCCCAAAAAAAAAAAAAAACATTCTAATTCTTAAGGCCCCTATATTGTGTCTTTATGATCGCTCTTATAGTAGTCCTTATATATATATATATATATATACATATATATATATATGTATAGAGGCCTTTTAAAGGAACCCTATTCTACCTATTAAGGCCACTATAGTATGGTCGAAGGCTGAGGTCGGGAGTTTCGGGCGGTTGTTGAGCGGAGCTCTTCTTTTGCTTTGGAGGCAATAATTAGAGTAGGGTTCCTTTAAAGGGCTATGTATAAGGGCTTCCATAAGGGCTATTTTCAGGATGTAATATAGGGGCCTTAATAATTAGAATAGGGTTTTGAGGGGTTCCTTATTAGAATTTTGGCGCGAAGAGTATACACTCCGTTGGAGATTACTGTGACCCTTTGGGAATGATACTGATGTTTTGAAGCATCTCGTCCGGCATCGCATCTCATGGACATTACGGCCACCCGTGGCTTCAAGCACCCACTACTCACGTACTCGTGTTTGTGGGAATACTACATAGTCGCAGATGTGTATTGAGGGAAGAAGTTCATGACCCATGAAGGCTACAACCTCAAACCCGAAACCATGCAGACCTCTTCGCCTAAGCCTAGATGCCTGCAGCAATCAGGGACCCAAGCCCCGGCGCTGTAAAACCTAAGACCTGCATCCTGCATCGCATGCTCTGAGAGAACATCATACACCAGCCACGGGACCTCCACTCGAAAGCCTTAAAACCCTGAACCCTCGACACCTGAAACCCGAACTGTAACATGTCGAAGTGATAGCAACAGTAGGAAAAACGACGGCACCAAAAGCCCTCCACCGGAAACCCCAAGCCCTCAATAAAGCTTATAGATGTTAGGAATAAGCCAGCTAGAACCCTTTAGTCCATTTTCAACATCGTCTAGTTGGCCTGTGCTTCAGTATGATTTCCCGGTCCTCGCGGGACTCATTCAAAATCAAGCTGGCAAGCCCGAAAGTCTTCGACCGCAAGCTGCGCAAAACTCTCGAGCGGTATAAGACAAAAATACATCGAAACCCCGCGCCAAAGCATAACTGGACCCGATGCTTATGTAAAGCCTCAGCTAAATCCCGCTTCAAGACCCATAACACCCCACTCAACGCCATGACACCCACCAGCCAAAACCGATACAAACCAGGTTGCAGCACTGTATTCAATCCTAAACCCCAAAACCTAAACCCAAACTTAACCCGTACCTGGACCCCAAAAAGTAGGTAGACAAATAGCCTTTTATAGGTATCGGGCCATTATTTTACTTACTTTTGGGGGTTTTAAGTAACCCTCAACCCTGAAGCCTAAACCCTGAACCCTAAACCCTTAACCCTAAACCCTCAACCCTAAAACCTAAACCCGAAACCCTTAACCCGAAACCCTAAACCCTGAACCTTAAACCCTAAACCCTGGCCCCGTAAACTCCGAAACCCGAAACCCTAAACCCTAAAGCCTGAACCCTGAACCCTAAACCCTTAACCCGAAACCCTTAACCCCTAACCCGAAACCCTAAACCCTGAAACACAAAACCCTAAAACCTTACACTTTAAAAGATGCCCAACTCCGAAACCCGAAACCCTCAACCCTAAACCCTCAACCCTACACCCCAAACCCTAAACCCTGAACCCTAAACCCTGAAACCCTTAACCCTAAACCCTAAAACCCTAAAGCCTAAACCCGAAACCCAAACAACACCCACCCGGAAGCCAAGTCAAGGCAGCCCAGCGACTGCCGATCCGGATCGAGGCCTGGGAGCTCTTCCACGGTTTAGGGCTTTGGGTTACATAGGGTTTCGGGTTTCAGGGGTTAGGGTTTATAGGGGTTTAAAGGGTTTATAAGGGCTTAGGGTTACTATACTGAACTTAGAGCCCTAGCAAAAATTAGATTTTTAGCTGTTTCTCTTAGTGGTTATAATAGCCAAAGATTAAAAACTATTTCTAAGTACCCCTAACGTTAGGGTTTAGGGTTTAGGGTTTCCCGGGGTTTAGGGGCTTAGGGTTATAGGGTTTAAGGTTTTAGGGTTTAGGGTTTAAAGGGGTTTAGGGGCTTAGGGTTATAGGGGTTTAGGGTTTTAGGGTTTAGGGGTTAGGGTTTATAGGGGTTTATTTATAGGGTTTTATAGGGTTGTAGGGTTTTAGGGTTTAAGGGTTCCCTTCAAGGCTAAGGGTTTGCGTGCAGGGGGTTCTCGAACATGAGAAGTACCTTATGCCGGGTGTTCAGGGTCTGTTTGATAGTCTTAGGGTGCGAGGCTAGGATGCCCAGTAACCTAAGAATAAAAAGGCCTCTCTTTTTGGTATTGGGTAACTTTATAAGGAACCTAGGACTACAAAAAGGAAATAAGGGTACTACTGGGGATCCTAGGTGTGGGGGTTAAGCCTTAAGGTTCAGTTCAGGAGTCGAGGTCCTGGGACTACCCTAAGGCCCCAAAGTAGTTCCTTTTTGGGGTTCATATATAGAATCTTATAAAGTAATCCCAAAAGGAACTACTTTGGGGCCTATGGGTAGAGTCATGGCTTTGCGTACCTACTGGCCTGAAAGTCGCACAGCTCGAAGCTCTACATTCAATAGCTTGCGATTGTAAGAGGCTATAAATGGAAACCATAAACCAGCCACCACAAAAAAAATATGAGCAGAGTTCAGATAGCAGCATTCTTGAGGGTCAAGGGATCAGTGTCCAGAGTGTTCCTGGGCTTTGGGTTTCATGGAGGCTTAGGGCTTAGAATGGTTCAAGCTAAACGGTTTGCCGGAGGAGGATTTAAAGAAACAGTTAAAGGTTTGTGACGAGTTGCGAGTACGACACCCCCCCCCCCCCCGGCACGCCCAAGTCGGTAGTTTCAACACTTTTGCCCTGAAGCCTAGACCACAACCCTAGCCAAAACTCTCAACTCTAAAGCAAATCCTAAACCCTAAACCAGCACCCTAAACCCTAATCCAATACCCTAAACCCTAAAGACAACCCAGATTCAGGTCAGGCTTGTCAGATCGCATCCTGACGAGTAGCGCTGCTGTGGATCATGATGCCACTTCTCTGCCTGCGCACTGGAGAGTGAACATGTCAAGCCCAAACACTAAGCCCCAACATAGGGGCCTTGCGGCCTTACTGTATTGCTGTGGGTATATCTTTTTTTATGAGTGTTGGCACGTGGTACATGTTCGAGACGCTGGCTCCCCAGCTCGAATTTGACATCAGCGAAGCGGTGGCCAGTGGCAGTAGTGGAGGACGAGTATACTAATGCTAGTGCTGTCACTAGAGCTAGTAGTACTACGAGGAAGAGCGCGAGAGAGAGAGAGAGAGAGAACAGAGAGAGAGAGAGAGAGAGAGAGAGAGAGACGGCCACCGGCACTAGCCACAGGCTACGTATCCTGAACACGCGCAGTAACAGGTATACTGTTGTTGAAACTTATTGGGTGTTTGCAGCTTCTATCCGTATGCCCAAAGCAAAACCGATGATCCCAGACCGTTACAATCCGTGGGCCCAGAAATGCCGACCCTGTAGACGGGGGCCAAGCCACGGTATTTGTCTCGAAGTCGACCCCGGCAAGGTTGGCAACACGACCTCGCCGTGAATATAGCACAATTAAGGCTTTAGGACGGAATGGTCTAGCTAAACGGCATGGAGCCTATAAACCCTAAACCCGAAATTAAACCGATAGTCCACTTGCAAGGTCTTTTCGAACCCGGCTGGATAGTCGTGTCTGGCTTTGCGGGTGTTGAGCTTTGCGCTGTTGTCAAAGGCTTTAAAGGTTTGCGCGGGGAGCCTTTCCTCCTACACTAAAGCTAAGACCCTACACTTTATACGGATATACTGTGATATCAGAGTTCGGGGATCCCTGCCAGGGTGTTCGGGTTTCGATGTTTCCGCTGCATGCACTTACGGTCCGGGGTACTTGAGGCTTAATGTAGGGGCCTTAACAGTTACCTATACCATTTTGGGGGATTCCTTATCATAATTATAGTGTAATGGGCCCCAACACCCTATTCTAGTCATTAAGGCCCCTATATTATGTCCTTGCAATATAGCCCTTATTGTAGTAGCCCTTCTATGTAGCCCTTTAGAGGAACCCTGTCCTAACCCTAAACTCTAAACCCTCTGATAATAGAATCCTTATAACAAGGGTCCTACGATTTAGGGAATTTTTTTTGGGTCTTGGCTCCGACTACCCTACATAAACTCAAACATGGCACCAAGCTGGACGCCCAACCAAACGGCGAGCCATCTGGGGCCAACAGTGGCAGCGCCTGTGACAAGATGTCGCGCTCAGAGGTTGTGAGGTGTTCGTAGGGCTTCTGGATTCTGAAGTTTCGTGTTCATCCAACCATGATAACCCACCCCACCTCAGAGGAGGCGGGCCGACTGTCATGTTTCGGGCTGACTGTCATGCTTCAGCATTCAAGACAATCAACAGCGGATCAACTCTTAAACCTGCACCGTAAAATGCAAGAATCCTAACATGCCAAGACAACTCCTAAACCCTATAGACTACAACCAAAGACCTGCACTCTAAACCAATTCTAAGCACCTCGAACTACATTCTTCTCACAAACCCCATACAGACCCTTGTTCACCCCAACAGGCGGCAACAAGAACAGAGCCCCAATCTCCAGCCCCCAAATCAACACTGCTAAACCCTCGAGTTCTAGGCGTATGAGCCCTAGAAGGGCTTCAACTACCGGGGGTCCATACGAGGGTTCCTTTAAGAGTTCCTATAAGGGTTCCGTTAGAGGAACCCGGCCCTGCAAGGGTGTTCGGTGCTGTTGGACCTTTGCTCGTTGCCCACTTCAGCGCCGCGGAGCGCAGCGCGATCAGAGCCCCAGCTGTCGCTGTCCCAAGGGCCCTCAGGTCTTTGGGTTAGGTAGTATAAGGGCATTCATGGTTTCAATAGGACTCTTGTCAGGGATTCCTCTAAAGCGATCTATGCGGGTTACTGGTATAGGGCCTTCACAACCTAGACTAGTGCTCTTTTATGCAAGGGGCTCCTCTAAAGGGATGGCATTTGGGACTACCAGCTTCGTCCGCCACCATTGTAGCCTGATAAGAAGGATCATATCAGTAATTAGCGATGACCGACATGGTTCGGGCGGACCACTTCGAGCCGGGAATCTGTGCTCTCACTCCCAGAGCTTTAAAAGTGCAAACTCCAAACCCTTAGGCCCGCAATCGACACAGCTCTAAGTCAACTTGACACTGAAGCCCTTCCCCAACCCCCCTTGCAACACGAAAGAACGTACCTTCAAACCTACGTACTCCTGGTTTGGGCTATAGCAACTCCAAGCCCAGTTAGCAGTAAGTGCCCGGCAGGCTGCGCAGCTGCATTTCTGGCATGGTGGCAGCTGCAGCCCAAGCGTCAAATACTTAAATTCCTGCATGCACGTTCCGAACAAGCATCGTCGTGTTCTTAGTTGAGATCAGAATTCAGGGGTAAGTTGAGCCAGAGATATCTCTTGAATCCTCTAAGGCTCCATAAGGACCTCTTGCCCGGTCGTACTCTAGGGTTGCCAGAAAGCGTCAAGGAGGCCAAATGCATTCAACGATAAGTCATTGCGATCATTAGGCCTTAGAGATAGAAGTACCGGTCTAGGCGCACGACCGAGTGACGAAGATGCCAGTGTACTTTCCCAGGATTCCTACCAAAAAGCCTCTTCTGTTTTGATTTTGAAGACCCCTATTCTACCTCCTCGCTCAAGCAACATTGGCTTCGGCGGAAGTTCGGAAAGGCCTCCACCCATCAAGCAAAGGGTGGGGGGGGGTTGAGGGCTTGAAGTTTGAGGTGTCAGCCCTACACTGCCCACACAGCCCGAGCCCCAAGACCCTCAATCCCTGCTAGAAGCCCCAAGCGGCCTGAAACCCATTATGTAGGTGGTCGAGTGTAGGGTAGTCATACCTCGTAGATGCATCCCCACCACTGTGATTTTGCAGTGTTTGAACCGTCAATGTAGGTGCGGCCTGTGGGTCTGGAAAAAGCTTCTTACCAATTAGTTTACCGTGTTTCTCTTTCAGCCCTGCTTGAATTGGAAGCCATGCAGTCCGAATCACCCAATAACCTCCACAGTAGTAATACTGAATAATCACAATAGTACTAATTTAATTGTATTGCTAAAATGAGTGATACCGCTGATGATAGTAACAACATCAATAATCATGTCAACAGTCAAAACCCTTGATCGTAGCATGTGCAGCAGGCGCTCGACTAGCATCCCTAAAATGACAGCCAAGTTCAAGATCAAGCACTTAGTTCCCAGCTATCCCGACATACACGCGGACTAAACCAACAATCCCTCAACTCTAAACCTGCAAAAACCTGATAAACCCTAAGCCCTAAATCCCTACTGCACGAGCATCCCTTCTTCATCGTAAACGATCATGTCGGCTTCTGACGTAGACCTTACAACTTCACCTGGGGGTCTGGGGGTCATGTAGGGGCTACAGGGGCCTACATACCTGCCCATACTGGTCCTTCGGGTTCCTTCTGTACTGGAAAATTAGGGTAACAGCTTGAACGTGGTTTCAGGGATGGTAGATTAATAGAATATCTGTATGAATGGAAAGAGTATCACGGGATATTATGATAGTCATACATGATGTTTAATGCCATTTAGGTATTCCGACCCCGACATGTATGCCATTGAGCTCAGTGGCCGTACGAGGAGTATTAGGATGAGGCAACATCCATCGTGTGACGCTGGGAGCCGTGCCCCTCTGCCACCACGGCCAGGACTGTGTAGAAATGGTACATCGTGAGCATGCCCTCCCAGCTGTCAGTTGTCAAGGGTGTTCAGGATTCAATGGTGCGGTTTCCGGAACTTCCTTGGTAACACAGCTGCAAAAGGAATGGGTACTTCGAGCTAGAAGTATGACTGTCCCACGGGGTCCAAGCACCCCAAACTAGGTCCCAAGTACTATACTCTGAAGGGGTTTCGTGCAAAAAGCAACCAACTGTTTTGGCACTCAGGCCCTTACCCTACTTGGCGTGCTGGGCTCGAGCACTTCGGGTGTGAGATTTGGGGCCTGCTCAATAGAATAGGACCTCTCACAAGCCACGGATCCTAACCAGAAGGCAGGAAAGTGCAAGAAAGCAGGGTTCGGGGTCACAGGTTCATAGTCTAAACCTGTGGTTCGCAGGTTTAGGATTTGGAGTTTAGGGTTTGGGGCGTAGGGCTCTCCATAAACACGCTCAGCGGTCAGTCATTCATGGTCTACAGTAGGGATCATACAAGATGACAAACACAGTTTCAAAGCTAGCCAGAGATTACGGCTTGGGGCTCATGGACACAGTCCTCGAAGCCTGTTTCAGATCGGTGCATGTCGGGCGGGTAGTTGTCAGAATTAGGATCCTTTTTGGGGTCCCTATTATAATACGGCACCTACTATTTACTATTTAAGGTACCCAAAAAGGGACCCTAATGTGGCAACCTCCCATTTCAGTTCAGGGTGCCTTGGGTTGCAATAAGGTATGCTTGTATACAGGATCTGCAAGAGTATGCTTGTATTAATTATTCAAGTCGTCGGACTGCTGCAGGACCCCAAGCCCATAGACTCCAAGCCTCTAACCGTCAATCTTACATCCTAAGCCCGAATCATCCTAATCCCTCTACCCTAGGACAAACCTTAGAAATCCAGTGTGCAGAGCCCTTGCTCCTATATATATATATATATACACACACACATGTATATATATATATATACATATATATACTTGTATACATTTACATACACACACACACACATATATATATATATATATATATATATGCATACATACATATGTTACAAACAGGTATAAATGACAAGAGGCATATCTGTACAAACCTGCAAAGCCCTTATAAAGCGCACCCCGAAACCGATCAGTCCACAGTTCATAAGATATTCTAACGCCTCATCCTGAAATCTCTGAATCCTATAAACAGCCTGTAGTCCTGTCCTTGTGAACCCCTCTTGAAGTCCCCAGAGAAACCCCATAAGACCCTAATATGTTACACCCGGCCAGTTTGCCTGCCTTGAAGGAGGGTGAGTTCTCGATGTGATACCGATAGCTGTCGAAAGTAACCTGTTTCTGTTAAAGCTCAGGGTTTAAGGTTTGTGGCTTTTAGGAATTCTCGGGTTCAGGGTTTAGGTACCAAGAATTGCAGTACTGCCGGGGATGGCTCTACAGGGCTTCAGCAAAAAAGTCATGGGGACGCCTCTTGCTACACAAGGACTTCAAAAAGCTTCTCTGGAATTTTGCCAAGCCTTCTGTAGCGCCGAATACAGTTTTGTGCTGCTCCTGGTCTTTGAAGCTCGTGTTGTCCAGGATCAAGCTGGGAAGTACTCCGTCTGCGTGGTCACTTCATAATCAGACTAAGGGGTTTGGGAGATGCTACAGGAGGTATAGCGGTCACTCTAATCATATATGGGAGTTTCCGAATATAGGAGACCCTAATTTAGTAAGGTCCTTACTATGGGGATCCCATAAAAAGGTACCCCTGATTTTCGGAAACTCTCATATCTATGCAAGATTGTAGGGCTTGAGACCGCAAGCACACCCCAAAGAGCTCAGGCTGCTTTGTCTGCAGGGTCTTGGGTCTCTGAAAGCTTGGAGTCAAGAGTCCTTCGTTTTAGGTTCTGTAGGATTTAGGGCCCGGGGTCTTTAGAAGTCACGGTGTCGAACACAAGCCATACCAGAACACAGGAGCCTCACCTAAAATAGGCTTCTGGGATAGGTTATACGACAATCATAAGAAGGAACCCCTGAACTCTAAACCGTACGAACAGAAGCCTGGCCTGTTCGTAGTTGAAGTCAGCAACTTCGAAGTCCTGTGGAGGAGAAGTTTTCGGGTGTTCGGGCTGAGCGCCCTTTAGGGCTCTGGGGTTCAGGAAAGTTCGTAGGGGTTTAACTTATTATTATTTTTTTTTTGGGGGGGGGGGGTATAGTAGGGTTTAGGTAGGGTTCAAGAGTTTAGGAAAGTTTACAGGGCTTTCAATGGGGGTTAAAGGCGTAGGAAAGGCTTCGGACTTGAGGGTCTGAAGCTTCATGGCTAAACTGGAGGGCTGATAAAGCAGAATCGAGTTCGGGTTTCTTATTCAGAGGGAGTATCACTGCCAAGTCTGCAGGCCCGTTCGTGATCTGGGGTTTGGGGTCTAGGACTTGCGGGTGTTGAGTTTAGGGACGGGGGCCTTCCTTTTTCTTCCAAGTAGAGCTTAGGGCTTAAGCCGGACTCTCCATCCGGGGCCCCTGCCAGCAACCCGAGACCCTCACGCGCAATCCCGAGACTCCTACTCAATCAAAGAACCTCCTGGTTCCTGTTCAGGAGCTTTGCTGAAGTTGATAGATACCAAGAAGCAGAGCATGTTACCTGGTATATCACGGCTAATGTAACTTCTGCTGATAATGATTCACTGCTGCTGAAACACAGTGTAGCTCAAACCGATCCCTTAAAGGGAACTCCAGAAAGTTGGAATATGGTTTCAGGGTAGGATACCCTATAATTTACCATAAAGGGTTTAGGATGATCACATTCCAACTTTCTGGCTTTTACTTTAAGTACATCAAATGAACAATGAAAAACATCGAACAAAACTTCTTCAGGGACCTTCTTCTGCGGGGGAGACTCCGGGTTCATGCTGAAGTGGACATCCACGATGGTATTGATGGTGTCCTGTCGGAAGGTTTGGGGCTCATAAATGTTGGGTACGGCCCCCCATACCGTAGCAGTCTATAATAGGGCTACTATTTGGGCCCTAATATATCTATATTATGAATATTATCCATCTGTTGCTGCGTGGGGGCAGTACCGAACATATAGGCATATAGGGGGCTGGAAGGCCTCCCGAGGCTGGATGTTGGAGACAAAACGGGAATATCAAGGAACACTATCACTATACCTAAGCCCTGAGCCCTAAACCCTAAGCCCTAAACCTTAAACCCTAAACCCCCTAAACATAGCCATTCAGACCTGCCTGAAAGCCCTCGGCCTGAGGCCCTCATAACATCCCTGTCAAACCCTCGCACTCCCCGATACTAGGCTTTGAAGTAACCCGGAGAAAAAAGGTATAGACTTGTATTTCATAATGGTTCCCTTTAAGTACAGGTCCCCCAAAATATATTAAAGTATGGTACTCCAAAGCCCAGGATAAGACAGCCCCCAAAAGGCGCCTTAAAGCCCAACCCCAAACCCACCCTAGAGCTCCGGTTGCCTAAATAGTAGGGTACTATAGGGTTTAGGGTTTTAGGGTTGAGGGGTTTAGGGTTTAGGGTTGTAAATAGTAGGTACTAGGGTCTAGGGTTTCAGGGTTCAGGGGTTTGGGTGCATAGCGGCCCGTGGGTGTAGGGTGTAAGGTTTAGGGCT